CCCTTAATCCCTTTAACTTATTAAAACTCTCTTATACCTTTTATTACTTAAAAGAGTTTTAGCTCTTTTATCCCCGGGAAGTCTATTAAAGGTTAGAGATTTGCATGCCCGTATGCAGATACTGCAGCACTCTGACCTCCAACACTCACGTGTCTTCCGGAGTTACTTCCACGTTTCACAGTATTAAATTGAAGAGATTCAATTAATGAATGAAATTTTAGTTTATCCCAGAATAACCGTAAGTTTGGAATAAATTTCAAGTTCGGTTTTCCGAAACTATATCTTAAGTTTCGGATTAGTCTTTCCTTCAATACTGATATTTATGTGCTGTTCGTAAAAAAAAAAGTCTAACTTAATGTGAATAGTATTTCTCGAGTACAAACATTATTATTTCCAAATTAGCCCAATTTACGTATAATCATAATTATCGGGGAAATCCACCAGAACCAAGTTTATATATTCAAAAGAAAATTTTAGTGTCAGAAGCGATAATTATGAATTCATCAATTTTTAGTTTAGGTAATTTTTAGTTTATAATAATTTTTCTTTCTAAAAATCTATAATTTTAAGATTTTCGAAGTTTATTTATGACGTTGAGTTTATAGAAGGCTGAGATACATGTACGAATTCTTCTGATATATTAGAAGGATATTGGTGCAAAATTAAAGGATTAGCTTGAATATTTGAAGCACTAAGGAATTGATTTTGAGAATTATATGAATCTTCTCCAGCTAATCTATTTAATTTTCTTCTGACTTCATTAGCCTTTGGACGTTTATTTGGATCAATATCCCAACAATCTGTGTAAAGTTCAACATACTGATCCGGGGTTCCTTCTACAGGAGTTTCTCTTGCCCCTTGATTTATTTGGATAACTAATGCTAATGCATGAGCTTCTGGTAGGTGACTAAATGGAGTTCGATTACTAGAAATTTCCCAAAAAATTACACCCAAACTGTAGATATCTGATTTTTCATCACGTTTATAATTAGGATTTGCAAAACATTGAGGGTCCATATATACAGGTACACCTCCATGACCGATGCTACTGGTTGAAGTAAAAGATGTCTCATTGATCCTTTTAGATAGACCAAAATCTGCTATCTTCATTTTATTTTCATGGACCAGAATATTTCTAGGGTGCTAAAAAAATATTATAATTATAAATAGGGAGATAAGTTAGATATCATACTTAAATTTACAGTAATATAATTATATAAATAATATTTACAAGATCTCGATGAACAACACCGATAGCATGTAAGA